AGAGGCTATGTAACTCTTAGGAAAAATTCCACTTCATTTGATTTCATTGTCGTGCGAGATTTTGATATCGAAATTCTAAACCTCTGTCTTCTATTCTTTCACAGATGGTGAGGACACGTACCACCGGAGATGACTAGACACCTGTGCCCCTTGCTAGAGCAGCTAGAGGTCGGGGCTGGGGCTCTGTTTTAAAAGGCAGAATTGGGACTCGCCCGAGACTCGCCCCGGGGCGGAGCACTCGTAAAACGCCCCTGGGCTTATGTGTGGGGCTTAGTTCCGTGAGACTTACGCCTCGGCCATCGGGGCTTACGCCCCGGACACGCCCAACGCCCAGCGTACTGGGCTCGCCTAATAGAACTTTATGCAATTGTATGTAACTAACCTTGTAAATCTTCAAATTTTCTTAATAAATCATTGACTACTCAAAATTACTTTTTTCCTAAGTATAAATTATTATGTTGGGAGTTTTTTCATAATTAAAATAAAAATTATTGCACGTTATGCACTAAGACTACTATGATAGTTAATTTTAAATAAATCTTTTATTTAAAAATTATTTATTTATTAACTATTGTTATGTCTTTATTATATAATACTCCATAATTTTTTTTATAATTATTTTTCTAATTATTTTTTTTCAATTTACGAGATACAATACTTATTAATTTAATAGCTCAGTATTAGCTAGTAACTATGTACAAATAATTAGTTATCATGGTATTGTACGGTGAACGATGTGTCACTTTATTAACTTGTTGAAACTTAAAAATGAATGATGTTTGAGAATCATATTTAAATTGTGAATTATGTTTTTATAAAAATTCTCTTTCAAATAGAAAGCATATTAAATAAAAGGAGTATTTTAAGAAAAATATCAAATTATAATATCGAAATTCTTTCAAGATTCATTACTCCTTAAGAGATACATATAAGATTTCGTATCGAATACATTACTTTTGATGTTTGAGTTGTAACGACATTGCAACTATTTGTTATGATATATGTCATACTTTTTGTATTATTCATAGTTGAATTATAATTTATTAATATTTTAAAATATATTATTTGTTATAATTCTGTGATTTTAATGTACTTTTTTATAATTATTTTTTATTTTATAATATCTTAAAAATTCATGAAATTAGTAAAATTTAAAGATCCATGGGACTTACGCCCCATGTCTCAAGGCTTACGCCTCGCCTCGCCTCGTCAGAGGTAAAATGCCTCGCCTCACGCCCCCGCCTTTCAAAACATTGGGTGGGGTAGAGGCCAAGGACGCGCAAGTGGTGCATCCAGAGCACCCGCGCGAGCTGCCACAGAGGAGCCACTAGCAGCTACAGTCGGAGCCCAAGCGCCTGATACGCCTACTGCTACTACTACTCTAGCTCTCCAGGAGACCCTTGCTCAATTTATGAGCATGTACACCACTTTAGCTCAGGCAGGGTTGATTCCCCTTGCTGCAGCTACATCCCAGGCCGGGGGAGGAGCACAGACTCCCACCACCCGCACTCCTAAGCAGCGAGTGCAGGTTGATTAGATCCCAGAGATTATACCGGTACCACTTGTAGCACCAGTTCAGCCCGAGGATAGGGAAGTAGCTTTAGAAGAGGAGCAGCGGAGGCTTGAGAGGTTCAAGAAGTACCAGCCTCCTACATTTAGGGGTCTAGCATCGGAGGATGCTCAGGGATTTCTAGAGGAGTGCCACCGTATCCTCTGCACATGGGTATATTAGGATCGAGCGGGGTTTCTTTCACTGCCTTCCAGCTTCGAGGAGCAGCCTATCAGTGGTGGCGTACTTTTGAGTTGGACAGTCTGGCCGAGGCAGCTTCACTTACATGGACTCAGTTTTCAGATATGTTCCTGAGAGAGTATGTTGCTCAGAGCCTCAGGGACGTATGGCACGTGGAGTTTGAGCATTTGCGCCAGGGTTCTATGACTGTTTCGGAGTATGCTGTCCGTTTCAGTGACTTGGCTAGGCATACACCAGCCTTGGTTTCTACGGTTCGTGAGAGAATTCGCTGGTTTATTGAGGGGATTATTCCAAGCATCAGATCTAGCATGGCCTGTGAGTTGGAGATGGATATTGCTTATCAGCAGGTGGTGAGCATTGCTAGGATAGTAGATGGCATGCATGCTCGGGATAGAGAGGAAAGAGAGGCCAAGAGGTCTCGAGAGTCGGGCCATTATTTTGGTGCCCATGCCCAGCTGCAGTTCGTCATGGTAGGGTTATATGAGTCGCCCCATTCATTCAGCTCTTCCAGCAGCCAGTGGTATTCCAACTCCTCTTAGACCTCAGGAGCCTTATTATGCACCTCCAGTATCTAGTGTGCCTCCTACATGGGGTGCTTTCAGTGGTCAGTCCAGCAGACCTGGCTTGAGCCAGTCACAACCGCCACGTCCTCCTAGAGCTTGTTTTTAGTGTGGCGACACACACCATATGGTAAGGGATTGCCCTAGACTTAGGAGGGCTGCACCTCTGTAGACTACTCAGCCATAGCGTACTCCGCAGAGTTCCTAGGCTATGATTACAGCACCAGTTGCTACCCCACCTGCCCAACCAGCTAAAGGTAGAGGTCGGGGAGGTAGAGGACACCCTAGAGGGGGAGGCCAGGCCAGATACTATGCCCCTATTGCCTTCGATTCTGTCATCACAAGTATTGTTTCGGTCTGTCATAGAGATGTATCGCTTCTATTCGATCCAGGCTCCACTTATTCTTATGTGTCCTCTTATTTTTCCTCGCATTTGGGTGTATCTCGGGATTCTTTGAGTTCCCCTATTTATGTTTCTACTCCTGTGCGAGATTCTCTTGTTCTGGACCACGTTTATCGGTCGTGTTTGATTGCTCTTAGTGGTTTTGAGACCAGAGCCGATTTATTATTGCTCAGCATGGTAGATTTTGATGTTATCTTGGGCATAGACTGGTTGTTTCCCCATTATGCTATCCTTGATTGTCACGCCAAAACCGTGGCGCTGGCTATGCCAGGTGTACCGCGAGGAGAGTGGAGGGGTACCTTAGATCATACTTCCAGTAGAGTTATTTCATTTCTTAAAGCTCGGCGAATGGTTGAGAAGGGGTGTGACGCGTATCTTGCTTATGTGAGAGATGTTAGTATTCATACCCCTACAGTTGATTCAGTCCCAGTAGTACGAGATTTCTCTGATGTGTTTCCAGATGATCTTCGGGGCATGCTGCCCGACAGAGATATTGATTTTGGCATTGATCTGTTGTCGGGCACTCAGCCCATTTCTATTCCTCCTTACCGCACAGCTCCTCCTGAGTTGAAGGAGCAGTTATAGGAATTGCTTGATAAGGGTTTTGTTCGGCCCATTGTGTCACCGTGGGGTGCTCCTGTCTTGTTTGTAAAGAAGAATGATGGTTCTATGCGTATGTGCATTGATTACCGCTAGTTGAACAAAGTTACAGTGAAGAACCGGTATCCTTTGCCTAATATTGATGACATGTTTGATCAGTTACAAGGTGCTCGTATGTTTTCTAAGATTGACTTGCATTCAGGTTATCATCAGTTGAAGATTCGAGAGCCAGATATCCTGAAGACTATTTTTCGGACTCGGTATGGTCATTATGAGTTCCTTGTTATGTCATTTGGGCTAACCAATGCCCCAGCAGAATTTATGCATTTGATGCACAGTGTATTCCAGCCATATCTTGACTTGTTCGTCATTGTCGTTATTGATGACATTCTGGTATACTCACGGAGTCGGGAAGATCATGAGCAGCACCTGAGGACAGTGCTTCAGACTTTGAGAGAAAAGAAGTTATATGCAAAGTTCTCGAAATGTGAGTTCTGGTTGGATTCCGTGACATTCTTGGGTCATGTAGTATCGAGTGAGGGGAACAAGGTGGATCCGAAGAAGGTGGAAGCAGTGCAGAGTTGGCCCAGACTATCCTCAGCTACAGAGATCCATAGTTTTCTTGGCTTGGCGGGTTATTACCGTCGATTTGTTGAGGGGTTTTCGTCAATTGCAGCACCTATGACCAGGCTGAACCAGAAGGGTGCTCTGTTCAGGTGGACGGAGGAGTGTGAGGAGAGCTTTCAAAAGCTCAAGACAGCTATGACTACAGCCCCAGTATTGATATTGACTATAGGTTCGGGGTCTTATACTGTCTATTGTGATGCCTCGAGGATTAGCCTTGGAGCGGTATTGATGCAGGACAGTAGGGTCATTGCCTACGCGTCCAGACAGCTGAAGGTGCATGAGAAGAATTACCCTGTCCATGATCTTGAGTTAGCTGCTACTGTTCACGCCTTGAAGATCTGGCGTCATTATTTGTACGGTGTTCCTTATGAGGTCTACACTGATAACCGGAGTTTGCAGCATCTATTCAAGTAGAAGGACCTTAATTTGCATCGGAGGAGGTGGTTAGAGCTGCTGAAGGACTATGATATCACTATCTTGTATCACCCGGGCAAAGACAATATGGTGGCCGATGCTTTGAGTCACCAGGCGGAGAGTTTGGGGAGTTTGGCTTATCTACCAGTATTGGAGAGGCCCATGGCGATGGATGTTCAGGCCTTAGCCAGCCAGTTTGTGAGATTGGATCTTTCGGAGCCCAGTCGGGTCATTGCTTGTGTGGTTTCTCGGTCTTCCTTGTTTGATCGTATCCGGGAGCGTCAGTATGATCACTACTAGAAAATAGACCTATGGCAACAGTATTTTAGCAACGGTTACTCAAACGTTGCAATATAATACCTATGGCAACGGTTACCACCGTCGCATAATCTCCTCAGACCTACTAAGATAGGTAGTAAAACAAACCGTTGCATTAGGACAAAAACCGTCGCTATAGATTGACGTATTGTGACGGTGTCTTAATCCGTTGCAACAGAGTCATCTTTGGCAACGGTTCTTGAAAAAAAAGGGCTACTGGGTCGGTTTTACTTTCCCTCCCTATTTTCCCTCTAACTTTTTCGCGCCTTATTTTCACAAAACAGAGACAAAGCGTCTAAGGAAAAACAAAAAGAAAAAGTAAAAGTCCTAATACAGATACAAAAAACAAAAAGCCTAAATTTGATACAAGCCCTAAAAGACATGCGTCCACACTCAAGCTACCACCGCGAGAAAGGCTTACGGCTGGAAAGTCCAAGAGCTTTGTTCAGCCCTAAAAGACCTGCCCTAGAGGTTCTGATCTCTATCCAACTCTCTTTTTCTTCAAAACAGATTTGTTTTCTTAAATTTTTGCTCTCATTCATCAACAGAGAGTTTATTGAGGCATCTCCAGTTTGAAGCTAACTTAAGTCTCATCTCCTTTACACTAGGTAAGATTCATGTTATATACTTGTTTATTAATTTATTTATTTGTCAAGTAAAAGATAAATTGGGAATAAATTATTGGGGTAGCTAATTCTACCAATTTATATGTTTATTTACTCTTTGTGAAGGTAATCAGATAAATTAAAGGCAAAGACCTCGAATCGATTTTTTGCCGGCCTTCCTAAACATGTTTTTAATTTCAATTAGGATAACTCTCTCTAATTAGTTTACAAATCGCTGTGTTCTGTGATTACGACTTTAGACTTTTGTTGATTAGTAGATTGTTGATTTCTTTGTTTTGTTTTTGTTTTGTTATCGTTTCTTTGCCGATTAGTGTATCTTTAGGCTTCAGGCGTTAGTGTGTTGTTAATATTGAAGCAACAAACGTGAACGCGAGCTGACTTTAGGCAGAACCATATAAACAGTGGCAGTTAAGGAATCAGAGAGCTGGCTTTAGGCAGCTTCCATTAAACCCAGGACATAATGAAAGAAGAGCCAAGGTAAAAAGGCGATACCACACGGACTTTGTGGTGGAAGAAGATGGTAACTGATGCTGCAGAGATGGAAAGGCCGAGTTATGAACCTGTTGATAATGATCATTCTGAAGTCTAATTAATCTTTAACAAACTGACCAATTTGGATTTTATCATGTGGTGCTGGCACTTACACGATCTCCCTTTGCTTCCGTAACTAGCAGCTTTACTTGCATTTGAAACTTATTTCCAATGAAATAATCCTCGCGTTCACGTTTGAGTCTTCATTCTTGAAGCAATTCTCATTAGATGTAATGACTTTAAAATTAGGAAGATGAAACAATCGACCCTCGAGAACTTTGGTATGAATGCTTCTGCTTTCTGTTATTCATCTCTTAGTTTGTTACTTTGTCAAATGCTTATTCTCTAATTCAAATCTCCATCCAGTTTCATCCAGGCTGAAGCAGATAGTAGTAAAGCTATTGATCTTGATAAGAAGGTGCGCTTTCCTACCTCACCAACTCCTGCGTGTTTAGCTAGTATATGTTTCGGTCTAATCCATTTTGACCAAGTAAACCTTAAACCTCTATTTGTTTTCTTATGTGGCCTTTATTTCTTCAGCATATCATGTGATTGAGTGTTATAATTCTTTTTAGAAATTCTGTTGCTTTAGTGATCCTGGAAAAGGATCTTGTGAGGTAGAGACAAAGTTAATAATTGGTTGGCTTTTTGGCTTATGTTTTGTGGGTTTGGGGAATTTTAGAGGAAGAGTTTGGGTACTGCATTGAGAGGTTTATTAGTGGACTTGTGTGTCTACATTTTATAGGAAAGGGTCAACTAGCTAAAGCTGGTAGTGCCATATAAATATATCTCCCTTTTTAGCTAATGTGGGAATTTTACTCTAATTCTGTCTTCACAATATTGTCTGCAGAATATGCTTGTTGTCTCTTGTATTATTTTAGTCTCAGCACTTCCTTTAAGAATCAGATGTTCAAGTCTTCCCTTCAAAGATTCAACCGGGCGAAGCAATTTAAATGCAAGTTCTTTGCTGGATAATGCTTCAAGAAAGAACAACAACATGTCAATCCCTATTGATACTCACTTTCAGCTTCCTTCTCCATTGCGTCAATAGAAAGTTAATATGACAAGCAAGAGCCTTGCGATCTTGGTTTTCATATATGTTTAGAATGACAAATAAGTTACTACCTTCATCCAAAATATAGCCATTTTACATTCTTTAAACATAAACATGTGATGTCAAGAACACAAATGAATGAACATATTACAAGTATTCTCTATTTCACCTAGCCTAATATGTACACAAGTTCTTTCATATTTTCTTGCTTTATGATCTTATACACAAAGTTATAGGTTTGGGATTTCCTTTCCTTGAATCCTGCAGTTGAATACATAAGCAGTACTTCTGTTTTCAGGTCCAGGAAGCAAATTACCATTGGGATTGCTTGAGGAGCCAGCTGCAAGTGAAAATATTTGGTAAGTTAGTTCTGTGTTCTTGAAAATCTGTGTTAATAGTGCTTATAAATCTTTGCTTAAAAAGGCTTTTACCACTAGTTTTCATTTTTTGGCATAAGAAGCCTGGTATCTTAATAGTCATATACTTTGATCAAAGTTGGTGCAGCTTGTACCTTCTATTGAACATGGGGTTCCATATTTGGTTTACTGTTCTCCGTTAATTTTTACTTTTGGTTGTGCGGACAAGGGAGGTGGGGGCAGCTATAGATATATATAATTAAGACACATTATCTAGACACGTTATGGGACCTGAACATCCGGGACGTCTTAGATTGTATGGACGAGGGGTTACAAGAACTTCTTTGAAAGGAAAAATGGTACATTTTGAATCCTCTTCAAATGCTACAAATGATCTGGTGCAACAAATGGAAGAAAGGATGACAAGAATGTTTGAGGAACAGAAGGAACAATTTGAGAAACAGAAGGAACAATTTGAGAAACAGAAGGAACAATATGAGGAACAAAAGAGAATGATGCGACAAGAAATTCTAGGAGATATCTTTGTACAGCTTCAGCGTTCAGGATTGCAAATTGATCCTAAAATTATAGCAAACTTGTGTGCTCATTCACCAGGAGAAGCTTCGTCCGCACAACAAGTAGCTATTCAACCAATCAACAGGCCATCTTTTGGCAGCAACAATCAAGGTTCGATTTCTTTTTGATATTAGTTATAGATTGGTTGTGTGTGCAATCTGTATTCCTGTACTGGTTAGCTGCTTACCAAATAGCCCATATTTTGCAAAAATAGAACTGGCCCGTACCTTTGCTTTACACTGCTTTGGCGATCAATTCTGCCTGATATCCTACTGTTATTTGTTGATGTCCCTGCATGATAATCTTCTCTTGTTATCCTATTTCCATGTCGCATTAACAGCAATTCCCAGATTGGTTCAGCTCCTTCCAAAAAAGATTGCCAAAGTTGCCTAGTTGACTGCCCTATGTTCTAGGAATTCCCAGACTTGTATCTTTTTTCTGACACAGTTTTAGTTGTCCTTATGCTGCTAACTTTACCTTCCATAATTCAGTATGGAGAGTTGTGGCCTCAATCTCAATTAGTACAGTGTTGCTTGTGATAGTTCAATGATCAAGGTAGTGAGCTACCATTGTAGTGCATTATGGGTCAGATTCTCTTTTGCCGTTTTCTCTGTCAGTTTATTTTGGTCTGAAAAGTTGACATGATGGTTTTTCTATTTTTTTCTCTCTCATTATTTTCTTGTTTGTTCTTGGATCGTTGATCACGAGGAAATTTAGAATCTTGATTTGACCGGTACCCTCCTCTAGTACTTGTTGTGTGAATGTCTATTTCAGAATGCAAAGTTCTGATTTTTATAGCATTGGATTGCTGAATTTATGTTGAAATAACCTAACAATGAAGATGGGTGTGTAATTTTTGCCGTGGGTAAATCCAGTCACGAGCTGTTCACGAGAATGGATAATTAACTGAATTCTCTCTGCTTTGCTTCTCTGTTTGTTCAGTTTCTTTCATCCTCCTTTTTCTTCTATTCTATGCATCTACTCGTTTCTATGCCTGTTACTGTGTTATCTCACAATCCCTTCTTTCTATAAATAAATGAGATGTATCTGCTAAAGTTTGTTTGCTGAGTTATGAATGCCTAATGTTTACAAGATCAGTCTAAAAAGTGAGCACCAATCAACAAAATAATTTCTCTTTGTTGATAGGGGAGATCTGATAAGGGAACTCAAGAATATAAGTAGCTGCGATATGAATTGGATTTATTTGCTCTTTTAAGATGTTCAATATACTAGAGTATAGCAAAAGAGCCTCAGTTTTATGAATATGATATCAGTTAGTTATCCCTCAATAAGTATTCTAAATGAAATTAGAAACAATTTGCTGGAGTTCTAACCACTATTTGTGAAACTTTGTACTTGCTATATGAATATGAAAGGAAATCATTGTTCTTGACAAAAGAAGCCTTCTCGACAAGCTTCTTCAACATACTCATAAATATATACTCACACTTGTGCTGCTCGGAAAACTCAGTAAATGTAGAGATCGAAGTTTTCTAAATTAATCGAGAACAAATTATATGTGAACACTTGTCCTACTCTCTAACTATTTTTGTTCTTGTTGAAATTATAGGTGAACCAAATGATCAAGGGGGAGATGAAAGCAGTGAAGACCTTACCTAAAAGTATTGGTTGAAGAATATTCAGACAATCTAGGAATGTTTTTATTTTTGAACTATTTTGCAAACTTATGTATTCCAATTCTTGGATTATTGAACACTTTTATCGTATATTTTACTTTTATAAATGGATATTCATAGTTGTATATTTTGAATTATGATTCTGTTGATGAATATATCTCATCAGTTATATATTAATTTCAGTGTATCGTACATTTATCTTGTTGCGATACCGTTAATAACAGTAGTCACAGTAGCTCAGTATAACCGTTGCAGTGGCTCAGCATAACCGTTGCAGTAGCTCAGCTAAACCGTTGCATCAGCTTGTAATAACCGTTCCAACAGGTAAAACAAAACAATATATAAAATGTTGTAATGTCAATAGCAACGGTTCTCGGGCGTCGCAATACACAAATAGCGGCGGTTCAAACCCGTTGCCATAACTCAATATTAATCGTTGGATTTGCTCATGATAAAACCGTCGCAGTAGATGTTCCTATGGCAACGGTTATGAAACCGTTGCTTGAAGACGTTGCAATAGACCAGTAGCGGCGCAAGTTCCCGCAACAGATGCTAAACCGTGGCACTAGCTTTATCGCAACGGATTGTTTCACTATGGCAACGGAATGTGTGGCGTTGCCTTAGGCTTATTTTCTAATAGTGGATGATCCTCATTTGCTTGTCCTCAAGGACAAGGTTCTGCATGGCGACGCCAGAGATGTGACCATTGGTGATGATGGGGTATTGAGGATGCAGGGTCAGATATGTGTGCCCAATGTTGATGGGCTTCGGGAGTTGATTCTAGAGGAGGCCCACAGTTTGCGATGTTCCATCCATCCGGGTGCCGCGAAGAAGGACCAGGATTTGAGGCAGCACTATTGGTGGAGGAGGATGAAGAAGGATATAGTTAGGTTTGTAGCCCGGTGCCTCAATTGTCAGCAGGTAAAGTATGAGCACCGGATACTGGGTGGCTTGCTTAAGCAGATAGAGATTCAGGAGTGGAAGTGGGAGCGGATAACCATGGACTTCGTAGTTGGACTCCCACAGAATTTGAGGAAGTACGATGCCATTTGGGTGATTATGGATCGGCTGACCAAGTCCGCACACTTCATTTATGTGTGTACTGCTTATTCTTCAAAGCGGATGGCTGAGATTTATATTCGGGAGGTTGTTCGTCTGCATGGTATTCCAGTTTCCATTATTTTAGATGGAGGTACTCAGTTCACATCACGGTTTTGGAGGGCCGTACAGCATGAGTTGGGTACTCGGGTGGAGTTGAGCACATCATTTCACCCCCAGACAGACGGATAGTCCGAGCGCACTATTCTGATTCTTGAGGATATGCTCCGTGTGTGTGTGATGGAGTTTGGAGGTTCTTGGGATCAGTTCTTTCCACGGGCGGAGTTTGCCTACAACAAAAGTTATCAGTCCAGCATTCAGATGGCAGCGTATGACGCTCTGTATGGTAGGCGGTGTAGATCCCCGGTGGTTGGTTTGAGTCGGGCGAGGCTAGATTATTGGGCACATACTTGGTTCAGGACGCTTTGGAGAAGGTTAAGGTGATTCAGGATAGACTCCGCACAGCCCAGTCCAGACAGAAGAGTTATGCGGACCGGAAGTTCGCAATGTTTCATTTATGGTTGGAGAGCGGGTCTTGCTTCGGGTTTCGCCTATGAAAGGCGTTATGAGATTTGGGAAGAAGGGGAAATTGAGTCCGAGGTTTATTGGTCCTTTTGAGGTATTGCGACGTGTTGGTGAGGTTGCTTATGAGCTTTCCTTACCTCCCAGCTTGGCAGGAGTTCATCCGGTATTTCATGTTTCATTGCTCCAGGTATCACGGTGATCTATCGCATGTGTTGGATTTCAATTCAATCCAGTTGGACAAGGATCTATCTTATGTTGAGGAGTCAGTGGCTGTATTGGACAGGCAAGTTCGAAAACTGAGGTCAAAGAGAATTGCATCAGTAAAGGTTCAGTGGCGGGGTCAGCCGGTCGAGGAGGCAACTTGGGAGACCAAGCAGGATATGCGCAGCCGTTACCCTCATCTTTTCGTCACTTCATGTATGTCTCTATGCTCATTCGAGGACGAACGAATATTTTAAGAGGGGGTAGATGTAACGACCCGGCCGGTCGTTTTGAGAATTAATGCCCCGATCCCCTATTAACTGCTTTCCCCGTATTTATTTCTGCTATTGGGATTTGCCGGGAAGACTCGTTTTGAGTTTCGAAGTGTTTTGGGACACTTAGTCCCTAAATGAGAGCTTAAGCTTTAGAATTTGGACCGTAGTCGGAACGGTGTGAAGACGGCCTCGGAATGGATTCGTCGATCCCGTTAGCTCCGTTGGGCGATTTCAGGCTTAGGGGCGTGTCCGGATTATGTTTTGGAGGTTCGTATCTTATTTAGGCTTGAAATGCCGAAAGTTGAATTTTTGAAGTTTCCGGATCGATAGTGAAATTTTGATATCGAGGTCGGAATCTGATTCTGAAAGTTGGGATAGCTCTATAGTGTTGAATATGACTTGTGTGAAAAATTTGGGGTCAATCGGACATGGTTTGGTTGGTTTTGGCATCGGTTGTAGAATTCTTGAGATTTCAAGTTCATTAGGCTTGGATTGGAGGGTTATTTGTGGTTTTAGCGTTGTTTGATGTGATTTGAGGGTTGGACTAAGTTAGTATGATGTTTTAGGATTGGTTGGCATGTTTGGTTGAGGTCCCTGGGGCCTCAGATGAGATTCGGATGCTTAACGGAAGTTGATTTGGACCTAGGCATTTTCTGATATTGCTGAACCTGCTATAACCGCACCTGCGTATGTGGGACCGCAGGTGCGGCACCGCAAAAGCGGCTTGGTAACCGCAAAAGCGAGTTTTGTCCTTGTGCCTCAGGGACCGCAGATGCGGCCCCAGCCCGGATAAGTGAATTTCGCACCAGCGATGCTTTTCCCGCAGGTGCGGGACCGCAGATGCGTCCCCATGACCGCAGATGCGGTAATCGCTGGGCAGAAATGTGAAATTTCGAGGGTTTGGAGTTCATAACATCAAATTAGATTTTGAGCTCGGGAGAAGGCGATTTTGTGAGGTTTTTGAAGAGAAAATCAGTGGCTAATGATTCCTAACTCTTTTTTATTATATCCCATTAATTTAAGCTTAATTTCATCATTTAATTTCTGATTTGGGGTGAAAATTGGGAAAATTTGAGAAAAGTTCTTAGGCCAAATTTTGGGATTTTAATTGAGATTTTGGTATCGGATTTGAGTGATTTTTGTATGGTTAGACTCGTGAGTGAATGAGTGTTCATAATTTGTGACTTTTACCCGATTCTGAGACGTGGGCCCGGGGAGGATTTTTTGGTGTTTTTCTATTTTCTTGCCTTAGCTTCGATTCCTTTAGCTAAACCCGTTGTTTGTAGTTATATTTACACTATGAAATTAATTTGATTAGATTTGGGCCACTCGGAGTTGGATACTCGTGGCAAGAGCGTGATTTCTGATTGATTGAGCTTGGTTCAAGGTAAGTGGCTTGCCTAACCTTGTGTGGGGGACTCCCCTTAGGATTTTGGTACTGTTGTTATATAAATGCCGTGTACGTGATGTGACGAGAACGTACACATGCTAATTATTGAAAAACCCTGTTTTTATTAAGTAAATATCTGTGTTTTCCTTTAATTGAGCAATACTTGTATTTGAAGCCTCCTATTTAGCTTAGGAAAGCATGCTTATGTGACTTAACTGTCTTATCTGCTTTAACTGTTTACTTGGATTCTGTGCAGCATGTTTAGAGTAGAATTTCCTATTTCTTGGTACGAACTTGAATAGAACTGTAGATTTCTTTCTTGAGACTGTTGTGTGTTTACTTTGGGACTACGGGACGGTATCCCGGGAGATCCCCCTGCATGTTTACTTTAGAACTACGGATCGGTATTTCGGGAGATCCCCCTGCACATTTATATTTGGGACTACGGGATGGTATCCCGGGAGATCCCCCTGTACTGGTTATTTACTTTTGGACTACGGGACGGTATCCCGGGAGATCCTCGGCATATTTATGTTTGGCACTACGGGACGTTATCCTGGGAGATCCCTTGTTGTTATCACTGCTTACTGAGTTATTTGCTTTCTGAGATTTCATCTTTATTTGACTGTTAGCATCTTTAATTATACTGTCACGTTCTATACTGTTATACCTTATTATATATTTATATAACCAGTAGGGCCCTGACTTTCCTCGTCACTACTCGACCGAGGTTAGGCTTGGCACTTACTGGGTACCACTGTGGTGTACTCATGCCCTTTCCTGCACATGTTTTTCGTGTGTAGATCCAGGTTCCTTTGCTCAGCCATACTATCAGTGAGGCGAGGCGATTTCAGAGACTTCAAGGTATATCTGTCGCGTCAGCAGACCTAGAAGTCCCTCTCTATTCTCCCTTTAGCTATAGACTTCTTGTATTTTCCTTTTCTCTAGACTTGTGGAGTTAGAACACTATGTATTTTCTTTAGCTTGTGGCTCACGAGATTCCGGATTTTGGGAGTGTTTTGTTCTGTTTGAGAGAGTGATATTGTATATGCCGACCGACATTTTGAACTTCTTTATTATATTACTCGTAATTTTGCTATTTTTGTATCTTTCTTTCCTTTTTCCGCAAATTGTTAGGCTTACCTAATCGTAGAGGCTAGGTGCCGTCACGACAGTTCACGGAGGGAGAACTTGGGTCGTGTCACCTAGTTATAAGAACATCAACTATATTCGTAATAAAAGAATCCAACACAAGATGACAATCCTAGAAGGTCAATTATTTTTAATAATCAGTGTTCAAATTTCCCATATATACTATGATCTCAGTACTAATTCCTCGATTTCGTCTTCACTTCTCTTCTTTACATTAATCTCTAAGTGATTTGTCATCTTAATTTCATAAGTATGGCTAGCTCTTCTAAACTGATATTTTCTTTCCCAAATGATATATGCCCCTCAATTCTTCATTTGTTTGGAAGTTGTTCTTGGTAACATTGAAATATAATATCCACACCAAACTTCATTAATTGTGGCTATTTTCTTTAATTTTCATTACTTAAAAACTTAACTCGGAGAAACAAGATAAGTGGAGGTTTATTAATTAATAAGATTACTAATTACTCCTATTATAGTTGGTAATTAGTTACTACATTTTTCAAAG